TTCGTATGAAAAAGTATTTATTCCAATATAGGTGGGCCCAAAAGTTGATAGATGATTTTTTTGCATTTTTAAAAGCATACTTTTACACATTTTATACAAACCTGTCATAATACTGTCCTGTATAATATTTATAATTTTGATACTAACCTATGAAACGTTATGCCAGTCGATTTTTCACAAAAACGTCTATCGCTAGAGCAGGAACGTATAACTCAGCAAGGCATTATATACTTTATAAGTTTTTAAAACTCAAAATTTGCTCAAACACAAATTAAATTCTAATTTAATTACACAAATGACACTAAAAATATAACCTATAAAATTTGACAATTTGCACTCACAGTAATGGCGGACCGGTCCCACTTTTCGTTTACGCATGTCGTATCCCTAGGTTGCCAGATCAATGGTTCAGTCGTTTTAACCTGTCAGATTAAAACAAGAAAACCGACAATTCCGAAGTAGAAGCGGATGATTAAAACGCACCTATTAAAAATATTGCGCCAAGATGTAGGCAACACGTAATAAGGGTTCAAAATGGCGGAGTTTTCTATCTCCTTTTAAAAGGCACTCAGAAAGCTGCGCAGTGCGACCATTCTTCGTATAGTAAAAGAAAATCAAAGTATGTGGGGCCCGCCGATTGTTTTTATGCCGTGCTTTGATTACTATAGGGTGCAAGAGAGAGGTAGGTCCAACACATTGATAAGGCAACGTAAGGATACGTCATATGTATTATTTTTGATATACAAAAGTGGGACCGGTAGGCGTGGCTTTTGCACTCACTAAAATGGCGGAATAGCAGTACCGTATTTACAAGTTTTTATTGTACTATTTCTGGTTAAGTATCATTATTTGAATTATAAAAAAATTATTTTCCTTTTTATTGACATTGACTTAAAAGGTGGTGGAAGGCCGAGGTTATAAAAGAAGGGGATTTAAAAGCTTAAATATGCCCGGTTTTCAACCGAGAGGTGCTGAATAAAGTAAATGAAAGAAATAAAATATAACTGCAGGGTTATTCTACTAAATTTATAGCCCGGCTACAAGTTGGATTTTGGCTTGAACTTTATATGTTCCTAACTTCAAAATCCAACTTGTAGCCGGGCTATAAATTTAGTAGAATAACCCTGCTGATTTAATTATCACTCAAGTGGCTATTAAGCGCTGGAGAATATATTATTTGCAAAACTTTGGGCCGATTCCATCATTGGGTTTAACGAAGTTTAAAATGACATTTTTACATAAAATGTAATTTTAATCTTCAATAGTTTAAACTTTAACAGGGGTCTATTCTGTAACAATTCCTTTATATTTAATGGCCTTTAAAAATATTGGCGGCTCTTAAAAATAGTTTCTTATTCGTTAATTTACTTCTATCATTATTTAAACAGATTTCTTTACGATAGTCCTCTAATGTATTTTAAAGATCCGTTTAAATAATGACAGAAGTAAAGGAGAAAATATTTTTAAAGGCCGTTAAATATAAAGGAATTGTTACAGAATAGACCCCACACAATGGTAAAATTAACCCTAAAGCGTTGAAATCATTCACAGAAAAAATAAATAATACCTTTTTGGTTCACATAAGCGACAAAAGTAAACAGAGTTCGATTTATTGGATCAGTCGTCACACGTTTGCACTAGGGCACATAAATAGCTCAATCTTTAGTTTTTCGTTTTTCTATGAGCCCAATGCTTTTTGTCTTTAAATCGGAAAGTACAAGGTCGCAAATGTCAAGTAATCTAACCTTACTTTAATTAACAGCTTTCTCGAAATTAAGAACAAATGTTCATACACTAAAAGCTCGATAATCAGATACGAAACTTAATGCAAGGCTCGCGGAAAATGGCTAATAAGCAATCTCTGTGTAGGTAGATTCACTGTTCAGGAAACCAAAATGTGGATTAATCTTACTTGGTCTTGGTACTTTTGTAGATTAAGACTGTATATCTTCATATATCTTCATGCAACTGTATATCTTCATGCAAGACATTCAGTAAATCAGCGAAGCCACAACCAGTGGTGTGCAGGTGCACTTCTAACAAATGTAAAATATGAAGTGATCTTACTTGAGCCCTATAGATCCAATGACGATATTATAGTAGTTGGTTTGAGCTGGGCTTCTCACCATCTGCAGAGATTATGGCTACTTATGTAAAGGCCTACCGTAGTAACACACAACATGCACCACAAGCGTGCCGGTCCAATTTAATTGATCTATGCACAATAATCATGCATGTATGATTGAAAGTCAGACAAAGAATGTGAAGATAAAGTTGAAGTCTCAATCATAGTTAAAGTCACAGATGAAGTTAAAGTTAACAGCAGAAGAATTGAAATTGTAGGCTGGTGATAAAGGGAGGCCAACATCTAGGTAATAAATGTTTATTGAGTTAGAAAAAGAATCCACTGTAAGCGCTTTTCTTGACCACTAAGGTAAAAACCAGAATATTTCCTAATACACAATTTCGTCTCTAGGCAAAATAAGAAATAAATTTGTGAGAGTACTTCCCAAGTGTTTTTAAAAAAGCTCTAAGAACAAAATTGACGAAAATGGCCTAATCCAAGTTCAAATTCTAAAACTTGAACATTAAAGATAAGTATCTTACTGTAAAACAAGTAAAATGAATGGTTGAATAATTCATTACCTACGTGGAGGTAGAATAGGGACTAATGTTTAGCAGAAGAAGCCACTAGAAAAGGTGACTGGGGCATATGAACGTCAAGCAAATATTGTAAATGAAAATAATGTGTGCTGTGATTAAATAAAAGTGTACAAGGAATAAAGTTTTAATATTTTCTTATTCATATCTAGGAGTGATATTTATTTTTAATACTAGGCAAACGGTTATGGTTTTGTTGCTAGTCTCATTAAAAAAAAAACTAAGTGAGTATTGATGTCTTGATGTTAAATATTTATTATTATAAGAACTAATATGCACTATACAAACTTGAATATCATATTCCTGAATTCATTTTAAGCATAAAATGTCCTATGAACAAACATTCAATTCTGCATGGTTACCAAGCTACAAGAGTTTAAATATCAAAAGATATATTAACATAGTATGCCATGTGTTCGAATATGTCGAAACACAGCACTGAATGTTTGGTGCCTTGGAACTTGTCGGTATGGAAATCGTCACCGATACTCCATACAAGCAGCTCGCGAATATTCATTGTATTGTATTTTCAACAGTCTCCACTTTAAGGTCCCTATGAAGATCAGTATTGTGGCAGTACCAGGGTGAATTGACGATGTTCCTTAATGCTTTATTCTGGAACCGTTGAATAACTTTGATGTCACTTTTCTGGCACATCCCCAAAGTTGGCGAATCGCTTCATTTTCACCAATTCCTTTAAACGCACTAATCTGAAACAAATTATAGGTAATTAAAAAGGTATATTAATATTGTTTTAAATTAACTATAATAAAACAAACAATACTCATGCATACACAAAACATGAAGCTCTACTTTTCAATCAGCTGTAGAACTAATAAATAAAATTGGTGGAAGGACAGCAAATGTAGGTTATATTTAAATAGAAATAAGAATATAAAATGCCTATAAATTAAATTTGATAAACGAAATAGCGTACGATTAATGTACTTCTCAAGAAAATGCTTGAAACATATACTGCTGAATTTATTATACTTGTTGACAAACTATCCACGCGCTACGTTTTATAGGATTTTTTGGAAATCTATAAATATTATTTCATATGAAAAAGTATTATTCCAATATAGGTAGGCCCAACAGTTGATAGATGATTTTTTTTGCATTTTTACAAGCATACTTTTATACATTTTATACAAACCTGTCATAATACTGTCCTGTATAATATTTATAATTTTGATACTAACCTATGAAACGTTATTCCAGTCGATTTTTCACAAAAACGTCTATCGCTAGAGCAGGAACGTATAACACAGCAAGGCATTATATACTTTATAAGTTTGTAACATTCAAAATTTGCTCAAACACAAATTAAATTCAAATTTAATTACACAAATGACACTAAAAATATAACCTATAAAATTTGACAATTTGCACTCACAGTAATGGCGGACCGGTCCCACTTTTCGCTTACGCATGTCGTATCCCTAGGTTGCCAGATCAATGGTCCAACACGCCCAACATAGGGCGCGGCCATTTTGATTCCTATGCCACAGTTTATAGCTAAAGAATCAGATCGCTCACTCTGCGTCGGCACTTTTGATCTCAATGTTCCAGTTAATACACTGCAACTCGGATGACACAATATATGACAACCGCCTATAATAAAACAGCAGTCTTCTGCGTATCCTGAATTTGTATCCCTGGAGTGGATGTTATTTTGGAACTTTCAACTGGTCCGAAGTGAGCTAACTGATCTTTAGCAATAAACTGTGACTCCAAAAATAATATTCGCAAAAGTGCCGACGCAGAGTGAGCGATCTGATACTTTAGCTATAAACTGTGGCATAGGAATCAAAATGGCCGCGCCCTATGTTGGGCGTGTCGGACCTCTCTCTTGCACCGTATAGTAATCAAAGTATGTGGAAATAAAGGTGTATTAAAAAATAATTCTTATTCAAACATCAATCAAATACTGTTTACGTCATGCGCGGAAAGTGCCAAATTCGATCGAATTAGTAACATACCGGTATTTGTGTATCCTGATCAGAGGCATAAAAATATGCTAAAAAGCAATATTAATATGGTGACCTCTGAAATAACCAAATCTGGAGATGTATTTTGTTTATGATATGGTTTTCAATTTCTACCTGTGGAAAACCCGTTCAGCAGATGAAATTTTTTAAATTCCAAACCCCTAAATTTTTTTCGAAAGTTGTTACTTTTACATTTATAATAGCGATAGGCAATTAATATAAGATATTGTGACGTCACGCTCTCTGTAAAACTGCCTCTGTAAAAATATAAAATATTTCTTTTTTTTTTCATAATGCATTTAAAATGTTTTCAAAATAAGCACATTATGAGGTGTTATATTTTTACAGATTTTTATGATCATTCGAAACTAACGACACGACATACGACCTGAAAACCACCAAACATGGATCAAATCCCCCCTCCCAAGGTGGTAAAAATTCTAGAAACCGCGGAAGACATCCAGGAACGACGTCAAGAAGTCTTAACCCGATACGACAACTTTAAAGCTGACGCAAGAGCAAAAAGAGAAAAGCTTGAAGATTCTAGAAGATTCCAATACTTTAAACGAGACGCTGATGAACTTGAATCATGGATTCTGGAAAAACTGCAGGCAGCTTCAGACGAAAGTTACAAAGATCCTACAAACTTGCAAGCAAAAATACAAAAACACCAGGCTTTTGAAGCTGAAGTAGCTGCTCATAGCAATGCTATCGTCGTTTTGGATAACACTGGGCGAGAAATGATAAACCAAAATCATTATGAAAGCGAAACAATCAGAAGAAGATTGGGTAATTTTGTTTTAAAATAAAATTGTCTAGTTTTTGTTATACCTTTTTTTTTTAGAGGAACTACACAGACTATGGGAGCAACTCCTCTCAAAACTCGCCGAAAAAGGAACCAAGCTCCAACAAGCCCTTGTTCTGGTCCAGTTCATCCGTCACTGCGATGAAGTCATGTTTTGGATTAATGACAAAAGCACATTTCTTTCTACTGAAGAGTTTGGTCATGATTTAGAGCATGTAGAAGTTCTTCAACGTAAATTTGATGAATTTCAAAAAGACATGGCTTCCCAAGAATATAGAGTAACAGAAGTTAATGAGCTGGCTGATAAATTATTGCATGATGGTCATCCAGAACGTGACCAAATCATTACTAGGAAGGAAGAATTAAACATCGCATGGCAACGCCTCAAACAGATAACATTAATGAGACAAGACAAGCTCTATGGAGCTCATGAGATACAGCGGTACAATAGAGATGCTGATGAAACAGTTGCTTGGATAGCTGAAAAAGATGTCGTATTATCATCAGATGATTATGGTAGAGATCTTGCTAGTGTACAAGCTCTTCAAAGAAAACATGAAGGAGTCGAAAGAGATTTGGCGGCTTTGGAAGATAAAGTATCAACTTTGGGTAAAGAAGCTGATAGATTGGGTGCTATTCATGCTGATCATGGAGATGTTATTCAAAATAAGAGGGCGGAAATTGAGGATTATTGGCATAGTTTGACAGAAAAAGCTAAGGAAAGACGCGAAAAACTAGAAGAATCTTATGCTCTACATCGATTCTTAGCAGACTTCAGAGACTTGGTCTCTTGGATTAATGATATGAAAGCTATCATCTCTGCAGACGAATTGGCAAAAGATGTGGCAGGTGCTGAAGCCCTTTTGGAAAGACACCAGGAACATAGAGGAGAAATTGATGCTAGAGAAGACAGCTTCAAAGCTACCACTGAAGCTGGACAACAACTTTTGGACAAAGGCCACTATGCTAGTGACGAAGTAAAAGAAAAATTGTCAACATTGGATTCTGATAAGAAGTCTTTGATAGCTTTATGGGACGAAAGGCGTATACTCTATGAACAATGCATGGACTTGCAACTTTTTTATAGAGATACAGAGCAAGCAGATACATGGATGGCTAAACAAGAAGCATTTTTGGCCAATGAAGATTTGGGTGACTCATTAGATTCAGTAGAAGCGCTAATTAAAAAACATGAAGATTTTGAAAAGTCTCTTGCAGCTCAAGAAGAGAAGATCAAAGCTTTAGATGAGTTTGCTACAAAATTAATTGATGGAGAACATTATGCTGCTGATGATGTAGCTCAGAGACGTGCCATGGTAAGTTTAATGGTCAATAAGATTTGAAATATTTGTATGTTATTATTTTACAGCTTTTGGAACGCCGTAAAGCGCTTAAAGAGAAATCCAGCATACGTAGAGAAACACTTGAAGATGCCTACAAACTTCAACAATTTGAGCGTGACTGTGATGAAACCAAAGGCTGGATTAACGAGAAACTCAAATTTGCAACAGATGAAAGCTATTTGGATCCTACAAACTTGGGAGGAAAAGTTCAAAAACATCAAAATTTCGAACAAGAGCTTAATGCTAACAAATCTAGAATGGAAGATATCACTTCTACTGGACAAGAATTGATTGAAGCTAATCATTATGCTGCACGTAAGTTGGTTATAAATGATTAATTTTCAATTTACATTTTCCTTAAAATTTTCTCTTAGCACGTATTCAATCTCGTATGGAAGAAATTGTAAACTTGTGGGAAACTCTGGTTCAAGCTACTGACAAGAAGAACTCAAAATTACAAGAAGCCAGTCAGCAACAACAATTTAATAGAACTATTGAAGATATTGAGTTGTGGCTATCAGAAATTGAAGGACAGTTAATGTCAGAGGATTATGGAAAAGATTTAACCTCTGTACAAAATTTACAAAAGAAACATGCCTTGTTAGAAGGAGATGTTGCTTCCCACCAAGATAGAATTGAAAGCATCACTTCAGCTGCCAATCAGTTTGTAGAAAGAGGGCATTTTGATGCTGACAATATTGCTTACAAACAAAAAGTGCTGACCGATAGATATGCAGCCTTGCAAACACCAATGGCAGTAAGAAAGCAAAGATTGTTAGATTCTTTGCAAGTACAGCAACTGTTTAGAGATGTTGAAGATGAAGAAGCTTGGATTAGAGAAAAGGAACCTGTCGCAGCTAGCACAAATAGAGGTAAGTTATGATTCATGCAAATTTTATTGATATAGCTTTTAAAACATAAATAAAACAAGCACGCACACACGTACACATTTTGCATATTTGCAATCAATACATTATTTTGTAGGACGTGATTTGATTGGAGTTCAAAATTTGATCAAGAAACACCAAGCAGTTTTGGCCGAAATTAATAACCATGAGGGTCGTATTAGAGCAGTCATTGATGCTGGCAAGCAGATGATGGAAGATGAACACTTTGCAATGGATGAAATTAGAAACAGGGTTAATACTCTTAATGATCATTGGGAATCTCTCAAGGAAAAAGCAAGCCAAGTAAGTACACACAATATCAAGTATTTCTTTAGTTAAATAATTATTGTTTTAGCGGAAGCAAGATCTGGAAGATTCTCTTCAAGCTCATCAATATTATGCAGATGCAAATGAAGCTGAATCATGGATGAAGGAAAAGGAACCAATTGTCAGCAACCCGGACTATGGCAAAGATGAGGATTCTTCTGAAGCTCTTCTAAAAAAACATGAAGCTCTTATGAGTGATTTGGCTGCTTTTGGAAATACAATCGATGCATTGAAAGAACAAGCTCGTAGCTGCAGAGTAATTTTTATTTTATATTCTTATTTGTTTCATTATTATTTGTTAAATTATTTTGCTTTTATGAATTATTTAACATAAAAATAATTTTTACTTTTTAATAATTTTTCTAGCTATGGCCTTTTTTAATTTTTGATAATTGTTTTCTAGCAACAAGAACCTCCAGTTGTTGATGTCACGGGTAGAGAAACTGTCCAAGCTTTGTATGACTACACAGAAAAATCTGCTAGAGAAGTGTCAATGAAGAAAGGAGATTTGTTACATTTATTAAATTCTAATAATAAGGTAAGGTATTAGTATTATTAATAATTATTTAATTTAATATATTTATTAAAAATGCACATTTGTTATATGTTGTAATACATTTTTAAAAAGTGCAAAACATTTTAAATGTGATTGCAATTCCAATTTGTAAGGCTTGGGCATTATATTTTGCTTCACTTTATCAATTATCTTGAATATGATGCAAACACCAAATAGTTAGGGATATAGCCGTTATGAAAGTTGATTTTATTTATCAAGTATAATTTAGGATACGATAGAATACGATAAATTACGATAAAACACGATGAAATACGATAAAATACGATAAAATACGATAAAATACGATAAAATACGATAAAATAAGATAAAATACAATACAGTGGAATACAATGAAATATAATACAATAAAATACAATACAATGAAATAGAATACAATGAAATACAATATAATGAAATACAATATAATGAAATACAATATAATGAAATACAATTCAATAAAACAATAAAATAAACACAACTTTAAAGTGCCACATTTTTAGATGTAAGACTGTCGTGAATCACTCTGTATAACACATGCTTGTTAACAGTAGTAAAAATAATGTGCCAGTTGTTAAATTACTTGTTATACAACTTTTTGACCTTCATTTGTAAATATTATCTCTTTTGATAAGGAAAATTAGTAAGTAAATAGAACATTTGTGTTGTAGTTATGTGAATGTTGGTAAAAAGTGATGGTCGTTACATTTTGGCTTATAGAAATATTTATATGTAACATTTTTAAATATAGAAAAAAACATAGTAAACATTTTAATCCTGTAAGTATTATTTTTTGAGATTTTTTTAGTATAAAACAGATAACGATTTATTTAAAAGGAAAGGAAATGACGTCACCTTCCAATATTATATTTTAAATATTAGATATTTTTTCATACCAATTTTTATTTATTACCTAAATCAGGTAATTCCAAATTTCTCAATAGTTAGAGTTGTGACCTAAATGAATGAATGGTTATACTTGTAATGAATTTATTTTTAAACTAGTTACACTCTAAATAATAGAGTTCTCATACGAATTGTATAAATAAAAACTAACAGGCAAAATTTAGTGATAAATTTAAATGTTTTATCTAATAATAGTATATTATTAAACGAGCAATTTATGGTAGCCATTATTCACGCAGGGTGACGTTTGCGTCCCGAGCCGTAGGCGAGGGGCGCAAGTCACCCGAGTGAATAATGGCCATAAATTGCGAGTCTAATACTATACTTTGTCCACGACCATTATGGTTTCTTTATTAAATAAAAGTTAAGTGTAGAATGGAAAGTTTTTATTAAACATAGGTAACTAACTTGTTTTTTCCACTTTTCAATTTTTCGATTTTCGATTTTCGATTTTCGACTTTCGATTTTTCGATTTTTCGATTTTTCGATTTATCGATTTAACGATTTTTTGATTTTTCGATCTAGAAAATATCGTTATGAAAAGTATCGTCTATTTTTAGTTATCTACCGGAATGTGCCAGAATTACAAAAGCGTGAATTATCATAATTCACTCCGTGATATATGGGTACTATATGCTTTTAGTTAGGAGGTACAATATTGATTTATTATTAGGTGGTCGTGGACAAAAATTGTTATATTTATAGTGTTACAAAATATTAACATAAAAATGATAAAGAATACAGCAAATATTTTACAGAATTCCTGACCAAATCGTATTTTGTTGTTCTTAGATACGTTTTTTTTTCAGGATTGGTGGAAAGTTGAAATCCATGACCGTCAGGGTTTCGTTCCAGCGGCGTACGTTAAAAAAGTCGACGCTGGTCTCACTGCCTCTCAACAGAACCTCTTAGATAGCAGTTCTATATCTGCCAGACAGAACCAAATAAATCAACAATATGACAGACTCCTTCAGTTGGCTAATGAACGTCGCAACAAACTTGACGAAACTGTTAAGGCCTATGTGCTTGTCAGAGAAGCTGCCGAATTGGCAGGATGGATCAAAGGTACATATTATTTGTTTATTATTATTTCCAGTTAGTACACTACAAAAAAACTATTAAAAGGTGCACAAATTTTTTTCAAATATTTTACGTCCAAATTTATTCCAGACAAAGAAATGCATGCTCAAGTACAGGATGTGGGCGAAGACTTAGAACAAGTTGAAGTGCTCCAAAAGAAATTTGATGATTTCCAGACCGATTTGAAGGCTAACGAAGTCCGCTTGGCTGAAATGAATGAAATCGCAATGCAACTCGTCTCATTGGGTCAAACTGAAGCTGCTTTAAAAATCCAAACTCAAATGCAAGATTTGAATAATAAATGGACCAGTTTGCAACAATTAACCACCGAGAGAGCTAGCCAGTTGGGTTCTGCACATGAAGTTCAGAGGTAAATGTTTTTAATGCATAAATATAGGTTAAAACTAATAAAATCTTTCCATTTTTAAAAGGTTCCACAGAGATGTAGACGAGACTATTGATTGGATAAACGAAAAAGACGAGGCTCTGAATAATGATGATTTAGGTAAAGATTTGAGAAGTGTTCAAGCTTTGCAGAGAAAACATGAAGGTTTAGAAAGAGATTTGGCTGCTTTAGGTGACAAGGTTCGTGTCTTTGTTTCTCTTTTTAACTGTCTACTAAAACTCTTAAATAGAAATTCATAAAATACATTTTCCCTATTAGATTAAACAGTTGGACGATACAGCAAATCGTCTGACTCAGACCCATCCAGAATCGGCTGAACAAACCAGGATCAAACAAGAAGAAATCACCAAATTGTGGACTCAACTAACAGCAAAAGCTAACAGCCGAAAAGAAAAATTACTCGACTCATATGATCTTCAAAGATTCCTTAATGATCATCGCGATCTTTTGGCTTGGATTAACTCCATGTTGGGATTGGTTAGTTCCGAAGAATTAGCTAATGATGTCACTGGTGCTGAAGCTCTGATTGAACGTCATCAGGTAGGAATTGCTTATACTGGTTAAATTTTAGAATGTCTTTAAGCATGGTGTTTGCAAATATTTGTTTGTTTATCATTTTTACATGATAATGGTTCTCTGATAAAAAAATACAATTGTCATTTGTGATCTGTGATCTATCGGTTATCAATCATATTGTTTCTTAACTGTAATTTTTATGAATAAATTATTGCATGCACTAGGTTTAGAGACGTTGGTGTTTTAAAATAAATGGAAGTATTTTATGTTTTAAGAAGAGGTTATATCTTTTAATGGATTTATTCATGTGCTTAATCGATTTTTAGAACTACAAGGCAGAAATAGATGCAATGTATGGCGTTCGTGCTCCTCAGGTAGTTACTTGTGGTTATGGTGTGTTATTTACAGCTACTAATAACAGTGTACAAGCTTGTCAATTAGATCAGAAGCAAAATAGATACAAAACTCTTATATTTTGGTTAAAAAAATTGATTTTGAATAGACAGTAATGTTTGTATTTTTTTATATACAGGGTGTTTCTAAATGGCTTGTCAGTATTGATGAAGGTAATTCTTTGGCCCATTCTATGATTGAAATTTCATATGTGCTCTAAATTAAGTTTTTTTTTAAGTTTTTGTTTTAAGTTTTTTTTTATTAATATTTCAAACATTCTTTTGACGATTATGAATTTAAACTTGGCAGGTTTGTTTGTAGTACTAAAAGGATAATTTAAATCTAAATTATTCAGTCCAGTAGTTGGAGGGGCAAATTAATTGATATTTTTGAAAACTGTATCTTTAAAAAAGTTATTTGTACATGTTGATACAGTACGAGTCAAAAGTAAGGAATAAAGAAATACTATTGATATTTGGAAAAATTCCAAAAACAGCATTGTTTTTAAATTCCGCACTTTTTGGTATAACATTCAGATATACAGGGTGATGCCTGTAAATGTAGTGATGTCATTGGCATATTTTTTAAACATCAACCCTTGTTTTTATTCAATATTCTTCCACTCCATCCAATTTTCAACATGGTAAATGGTAATAGGATAATTTTGTTACCTTACATAAGAAATTTTTTGAGAAATGATTGAGGACCTTGTTACAAGAAGAGAACTCCATTTTTATGTTATTTTATATACTCTATGTAAAAAGTTAAACTTAATCGATTAATGTAAAAAATAGGCAGCTGCGATAATAAATAGCAAAATTATTAAACTTTTTTACTTTATAACTTTTTTTAGCTTTGGTTTAAGAGGGAAGTAGCTCCCAATATTTTTCCATTTTTTCTTTCAAACATCGATATATCGTCAAAAAAATTTGTAAGTTACATGTAAATCTGTCGCCCTTTGATTACAATGTTTTATTTTTGTTAAAACAAGTCTATTTTTATAAAAAATATCTCATTTGTCAAAAGGTGGCAAAAATGGAGCTGCACCCTTCTTGCAGAAAGGTTCTCATTTATGAAGACTAAATTGTCATGAGTGCATTTTTATTATTATTGTAATATTTATTTAATTATTTATTTAAAGTTTGTTTTTTATTTTTATTTTTTCACCAAAACACTTATTTATCTTATAATATATGATACAACTTGGACAATATTTATTTGAACAGAAACGATATATTGACTAGAACTGAACGATATATTAAATAGAACTGAACTATAATGTCAAAATTTAGTCTATATACATATGTGGCGCTTTAGAAGATTCTAGACGTCTTTTGACCAACAATTGCTGCATATGACACCTTCTCCAGAACATACTACGGCGGATCCAGCTTGTTCTAGAATTATAGTAGAATGGATGCTTACTTCGACTGGCGGTGACGACTAGGGGCGTTTCATAGGGGTTTCGGAGGTTTACTTCTCGAGAAAAGTGGAGACCGTGAAGGGCTGAAATAAGGCAGAGAGAGGCTTAAGGGATTAGAGCAGGACAGGACTGGACTGGTTGAAAATGGCTCGCATGACATTATTTACACGCAACACTCTGTAAATCTGAATATTATGTCAAAAAGTGTGAGATTTAAAAACAAAATTGAACTGTTTTTGAATTTTTTCAAAATTCAATATCGAATTTATTCCTTGACTTCTCACTCGCAGTATACGAAACTTTAGTCATTAAATAGGCAATTACTTCTTACAATATTGGCTAGACATTTAGGAACACCCTGAATATTATGCGATTCAGTAAATGTATGGCAATTTTTACTAGAATATTTGATTCTAGAACGTTTCTTTTAATAATATGATAATGAAATGGAATATCATTTGAATCTCTACGTTTACTCAATAATTCTACATTGGAGTTTATACTTTGATATAAAATTATTAATGGATCAATTTAAGTTTTTTTTTTTTGCTTTTTATCAAAATAGCTGCACTACATTTGTACTTGGCGACAATATATGTCGACTGTATCATATCCTTGGCTTCCAACCAGATACATTTAAATACTTTTTTTTTGTTACTAATAAATGACTAATATATTTCCAATAATTATTCCAAGAATGTTCAAATCCATCTCAAGTTATTACATCATTTTTGATCAACACCTTTTCATTTTCACTCTACAGTAGCAAACAAGGTAAAATTATTTAACAACAATCCTATTGACAGCTGTCGATCAGAATCCAAATCTTATGCACCAAATGAAAATAGTAATTTTGACTTTTCATCATTATTTCAATCATTAAATTATAATAATCAAATTATACAATTGTACTTATTTGGTAAAAAAAAAAAAAAAATAAATAAATAAAAATTAAAGTTTCATAGCCAAGCACGATTTAAATAAATAGTGAAGGGTCGCCTGGAAAAGTCCGACGGACAAAAATTGTTAACTAATTAATTTGGCTGAATTTCTTACAAACAAAGGCAAAATATAGTTTAAAAAGGAAGTCATGACAAATGATTACCGACTTATGTTTCAACGGTGTTTTCGAAAATTTATTTTTTCTTATTAAAATAAAAACATGAAAAAATTACCAAAACACTCAAAGTTTGGTAGTATTTTACAAATGATTTGGACTAAAAAATGAAAATACAAATGTAAATATTGTTCCCAAAGTGTTTTTGAAAATGCACCTCCAGGATGGAGAAACATTTAATTGTGTCTTGTATGCCCAAGGTCTACTAATTTTCACTACTTTTCTGGACAGGTCCAAAAATTACTTTTCATAAAAAGTCCCCTCACTATTTAAAAAAGTTATGAAAAGATTATAAGGTTATATTATTTAATATCAGTGTAACTTTGTCAAAAATTAAATGATGTACAAAATGTAGAAAAATGAAGAAAATGAAGCATACATATACATATATTTTTTTATATAACATATCACTTATTTCTTTATTTTAAATGCATTTTTAGCTTATCTGATACTTTACATTTTTAAATAATTTAATGATTATTATTTGTATCTAGTTTATAATTTTCATGGGGAAAATAAGTTACAATACAAAATTGCCAACATTTTCTAAATCAGATCAATAAAACGTTATACTGTAAAATGAGTTTTGCATCTGCATATTTATCAGTCTGCTTTAATTGTTTCAGAGGTATTTTCAAATCAAAACAGCTGATTTTGCATTTTATTAAAAAAAAAAATATATTTTTTTCTATTTTTTTTTTTTGTTGCGGTACTGTTCCATAAATTTTGAAGTTAGTTACAAATTTTGGGGTATGGAGTTCGAGAGACAATAGGTCGAGTACTTTTTGTGAATTATTAAATCGAGTACTTTTGCTTCAAAGCGATAATATTCAGAAACATAGGTAGACATAATTCACGAATTTTCAACATTAAATTATTTTAACTATGAACAATTAAAGAAAAATCCAATAAAATGATGTCTTCATATTCAATCTCTGTGGTTGCTATGAGTACGTTCTGCTTACAATACCAAATACCAACTTAGGTTATTACAATTTGATGTGACATTTGTGACTAAAAAAAAATGCATAGAACACTGGCAATTTTATCATTTCCATTCAGACATTTAAAAGTGTTATTTTAGCTGAAAAAATTAAAAGATGTTTAATTGCTATTAAACCAGTAGACCAGTTCATTCAATTAGTTTTATAGTACAAATTTGAGGTTAGATTTATAACTACTGAAAGAAACAGGTGAAACACTTTAAAGTTCTAGCAGTTAGCATACAAAGTTATAATCAATTTCAAACTCATATTAAATTTTCGATTCTTTAATGTATCTTAAATTTGTTTTATTCAAAAGTATTAAAATGTTTTGAAAGTACCTGTTAAATAGTAAAATCGTGGTGGTGATCGTGTAAATTTCTGAAAATATACATACAAATTGAGAAAACATGAATTTGTTAGAAATTACTTAATTCACACTTTTATCCTTTGAGTTCCAATAAACATAAAAGCATATAAAAATAAAACTACATGTTTTCCCATGTTGTATATTCATTTGTTCATTATATCATTTGTGCATTAACGCTTGAGTATACTGTGTAACAAACTCTTTAAAGTTTCTTGTTTTTTTTTTTGACAGTTCTTCCAGTTAACTATGGATTCAGGATATATTTATCTTTTTCTTTCAGCCACATTTAAAAATAATGGTCTTCTTTTAATTTTAACATTTCCAATTTTTGGTAAATATATTATTAACCAAACTTACATAATATATGTATTTAACCTTTATATAAAATTCGAAAAATGTAAAACGATAAAAATTTACAATCTTTGATTTTCACATTTATTTTGTCAATTTGGTTAATAATTCACCCAATATCCTTTTCGCTTAATAATAACAAATCTCTTAATTATAGGAACACCGTACCGAAATTGACGCACGGGCTGGTACTTTCCACGCTTTGGAACAATTTGGCCAACAACTTTTGAATTCTAACCACTATGCCAGTCCAGAAATTCAAGATAAACTACAACAACTAAACACTGCACGTGCTGATTTGGAACGTGCATGGATTGACAGGCGTCTACAACTTGATCAAAATTTGGAACTCAATTTATTCTACAGGTATTTAAAATAAATTTTTATCCATATGACTGACACTGCATAGTTACGTCCTTTCATGGTCATGGAAATATATCAAATTTCGTTTTTAAAGGGATTGTGAACAAGCTGAAAATTGGATGTCTGACAGAGAAGCTTTTATTGCTTCTGACGAAGTTGATAGCAATGGTGATAATGTAGAAGCTCTGATCAAGAAGCACGAAGATTTTGATAAAGCTATCAATGCTCACGAAGAAAAGATTGCTGCTCTACAGATGCTTGCTGATCAACTAATTGAAAGGGAGCATTATGCTTCCAAACCTATTGATGACAAACGTAATCAAGTAAGTTAAAACAAATAATTTTATACAGAAGATGATTTAATAATAAATTTTTGTAGGTTCTGGATCGATGGCGCCATCTTAAAGACGCGCTTATCGAAAAACGTTCCAAACTGGGTGAAAGTCAAACTCTTCAACAATTCTCCAGAGATGCAGACGAAATCGAAAACTGGATCGCCGAAAAACTTCAGTTAGCCACAGAAGAAAGCTACAAAGACCCAGCTAACATACAATCAAAGCATCAAAAACATCAAGCATTTGAAGCTGAACTAGCAGCTAATGCTGACCGTATCCAGGCAGTTTTAGCTAATGGTGCCAACTTGATCAACAAGCATCAATGTGCAGGATCTGAAGAAGCTGTTCAGAAACGTTTGGAATCCATCGCCGATCAATGGGAATTTTTAACACAGAAAACTACAGAAAAGTCTTTAAAACTTAAGGAGGCTAATAAGCAAAGAACTTTCATTGCTGCTGTAAAAGATCTAGACTTTTGGTTGGGTGAGGTTGAAAGTTTGCTCACTAGTGAAGATGCTGGAAAAGATTTGACTTCTGTACAGAATTTGATTAAGAAACATCAGTTGGTCGAGGCTGATATTCAGCATCATGACGACCGGATAAATGGTTAGTTTTAATAAGTTAAAAGTTTAATTTTTAGAAATGAAAAAAATAAAATTTCTTTTTAGATATGAACGACCAAGCAGATTCTTTAATAAAGAGTGGCCAATTTGACACTGCATCTATTCTAGAAAAACGAGATTCTATTAACTCACGATATGAACGTATCAAGAATTTGGCAGCTCACAGACAAGCCAGACTAAATGAAGCCAATACCCTACACCAGTTTTTCAGAGATATTGCTGACGAGGAATCTTGGATTAAGTAAATTTTATTTTGTTTATTATTTATTAAAACTGTTTTATTATATTTTATTTTTTTTAGGGAAAAGAAACTCCTTGTAGGTTCTGATGATTATGGACGCGATTTGACTGGTGTCCAAAACCTGAAGAAGAAACACAAACGTCTTGAAGCTGAATTGGCATCTCATGAACCTGCCATTCAATCCGTCCAAGAAGCAGGTGAGAAACTTATGGACGTATCTAACTTGGGAGTTCCCGAAATTGAACAACGCCTCAAGGCTTTGAATCAAGCTTGGGCTGAATTAAAACAATTGGCTGCTACCAGAGGACAGAAATTAGATGAATCATTGACTTATCAACAATTCTTGGCTAAAGTTGAAGAAGAAGAAGCTTGGATAAGTGAGAAGCAGCAATTGTTGGGCGTTGAAGATTATGGTGATACCATGGCTGCTGTGCAGGGATTGTTGAAAAAGCATGATGCTTTTGAAACCGATTTCCAGGCCCACAGAGACCGTTGCAAAGATATCAGCGATGATGGTCAACGTCTAATTTCCGAAGGAAACCATCACTCTGATAGCATCAATCAGCGTTGTCAACAATTGCAAACCAAACTTGATCATTTGGCAGCATTAGCTGGTAGACGTAAAGCTAAGCTTGTTGATAATTCTGCTTACTTGCAATTCATGTGGAAAGCTGATGTCGTTGAAAGTTGGATTGCAGATAAAGAAAGTCATGTTAAGAGTGAGGAATTTGGTAGAGATTTATCTTCTGTGCAAACATTGCTTACCAAACAAGAGACTTTTGATGCTGGTGAGTACATATTTTTCTAATTTTATACATTTGATAATTTATTTATATGTATAGTCTTAATATTTTAAAATTCTGTGTAAATAAATAAGTGATAATTTATTGGTTTAAAAAAGAGAATATTATTAAAAGTTAAATTGTTTTAATAGGGGAAATGTCCTCCTTTGGCTTTTATAACTTTTTCAACACGTTTTGGCATACAGTACAAGTTTTTTACAGTTTCCTGTTCTTTGCTATTCTTGAAACCAAATCTGGATTACAACCCCAGTTACTTTTGTTTCTGTTGTACAATCAGTTTTACGAAGTCTTACTATATCCCACGAATTTTCGATAGGATTTAGATCCGGGGAATTTCCTGGTCATTCAAGACATACATATGAAATAATTCATGACCTTCGACATGTGATATGGAGCCGAATCTTGTAGAAAAACAGTATTAGCGTCAACTTTTCTTAGTTTTGGAGCCGCTTTTCTTATAAAGGTACTGGATCTCTAGTGCTATTTGAAGGCATGATCAGCTTTCAAAAATACATAGACATGCTAGAACAAAGACAAAAATCACTGACAGGAGAATTACGCTGAAACAAAACTAATTGAGGCTTTAATATACATAATATATTGTTTTGAGACCGACAAATATTAGAAAACTATAAAAAACTTGTAGGCTCTGTGTCAAAACGTGTTGTTAACCAATAAATGATTTCTTTAAATTAACACTTTGTGTTCACATTAATTTGACAATGCCCTATAGTGTGTTCTATCTTTTTTATTAGATTTTAGGTAATAGTGCCATCATTGAAACATTTAGATCAACTATCGATTTTTTTTTAAATGATAACATATTGTGTAATATTTTTGTAGGTCTTACTGCATTTGAACATGAAGGTATTCAAAACATCACTGCTCTAAAAGACCAACTAATATCATCTAACCACGACCAAACTCAAGCTATTGTTACTAGACATCAAGCTGTCATTGCAAGGTACTTATTTAAAATGTAGCCTGATTTACTTTATGAATAAAAATGGGAATTTTTTAGATGGCAAAAACTTCTGAATGATTCTGACGCACGTAAGCAACGCCTTCTCCGTATGCAGGAACAATTCAAAGAAATTGAAGAACTCTTCCTTATGTTCGCTAAGCGTGCATCTGCATTCAATTCCTGGTTTGAAAATGCCGAAGAGGATCTTACTGACCCTGTGCGTTGCAATTCTATTGAGGAAATTCGAGCTCTTAAAGAAGCTCATGCCCAATTCCAGGTAAGCAGTGTTTTACAGCTTTATACCTATATCCTTGAATTTATCATGTTAAATCGTCGGATTGGGGAAAGTCTACCGGCAGGGGCGTACCGATTTTCTGGGGGGCCCACCCGCAAGATTTTGGAGCCCCCAAGCAGACTCTCTCCAAAAAAATTATAGAATATACTCAAAATGGTGGTATAATTATAATGATTTTTAGGCATCTCTCTCCAGTGCTCAGGCAGATTTTGACGCTCTGGCAGCTCTAGACCAGCAAATTAAGATGTTTAATGTGGGACCGAATCCATATACTTGGTTCAACATGGAAGCATTGGAAGATACATGGAGGAACTTGCAAAAGATTATTGCTGAGAGAGATGTAGAGTTGAACAAGGAAGCACAAAGACAAGAAGAGAATGATAAGTTAAGAAAGGAATTCGCTAAACACGCTAATGCTTTCCATCAGTGGTTGACGGAGACACGGTATGTTAGTTTCTATTCTATTAATTAAAAAACAATCCTGTAATTTTTTTTTAAAGAATTTCGGAAAAAAAGTTGAATATGTAAATATCGTATGCAAGTTCAAGGCACCAAACATATTTATCATCAAGACGAATTTAGTAATGCCATTTTTGTCTTAGAATTTTTCTGATTCTGATACTTTGGCAATGATCTTTGAGTTGAGCATATCCAACTCTGCAAATTCGTCTTGCGCTTCATATATGTCCAGTGGCTTAAGCTTGTTTGTATGTTTTTTTAATGTTATCATTTTAAATTTTCAGTTATCATATATTAGGATGGAACGGGTAAATAATGTGTACCGTTGTTCACTAATTAACTTGAACCTGCTCGTGGATGTTTGTATTAACAGTTTGATTAAAACTAACTTGAGTGAATATTTTTTGAGTGGGCAATTTAACTCTGTCTAAAATATATTTTTAAAAGGACTTGCCTAGTAAGGCTTCAAATTGCTTATAATAGAAGAACATATATATCTTTCTTATTGATCACAGTTTGGAAAGTTGATAAAAACCGATATTAATTGTGGAAAAACTCCAAAATAACCAACTAAACATACTCCTATATATACCATTCTTAAAAGGGAGAAAGACTTTGTAATATAACTGTTTTAGTCACCATAAAAGGAGAGTTTCTGCAGACATACCTAATTATAGAACTCAATTATACACTTAACTCCAGCTTAGAAAAGGTTAAGTGAAAGAAAATATTATTTAATATTTTTACTTTCTTCAATTTAAAGCACACATCCCTTCTGCTATACTAAACAGTTTTGTTAATTAATTATTTATCCATATATCTCTCAGACCTTAGCAACTCATAGACATAATTGATTTGTTTTGTTTAGTACCTCCATGATGGAGGGCTCAGGTTCTCTAGAGCAACAACTCGAAGCCACAAAACGAAAGGCAGCAGAAGTACGTGCTCGCAGATCGGACTTGAAGAAGATAGAAGACCTTGGTGCCATTCTTGAGGAACATCTAATCTTAGACAACAGATACACTGAACATTCTACAGTTGGTCTAGCTCAACAATGGGATCAACTCGACCAGTTAGGCATGAGAATGCAGCACAATTTGGAACAACAAATACAAGCTCGAAATCAATCTGGTAATTAAAAAATCTACTGCGACTATATATCCAAATAAACTTGAACATTATTATTGTGATCTAACCTTTATATTATGTTTTTAGGTGTAAGTGAGGATGCTCTTAAAGAATTCTCCATGATGTTCAAACATTTCGACAAAGAAAAATCGGGAAAATTGAATCATCAAGAGTTCAAGAGTTGTTTGCGAGCTCTTGGTTACGATTTGCCTATGGTTGAAGAAGGACAACCTGATCCGGAGTTCGACGCAATTTTAGGTAAGAGAAAATACATTTATAACTATTTTTTTCTGCAGATGTTATTCTACTCATATTTTTGTTTTTCCAGATGTGGTTGATCCAAATAGAGATGGACATGTTTCGCTACAAGAATATATGGCCTTTATGATAAGTAAAGAAACTGAAAATGTTCAAAGTTCGGAAGAAATTGAAAAGGCATTCCGAGCCATCACCGCAGGAGATCGTCCTTATGTCACAAAGGAGGAACTATATGCGGTAAGTATTTGACAATTTTTTTTGATATATCTCACTTTTTGAGTATGTAACATAATATTTTTTTGTTTTAGAACCTTACGAAAGAAATGGCGGATTATTGTGTGGCGAGGATGAAACCTTATGTGGAACCAAAAACAGAACGTCCTATACAGGGTGCACTGGACTACATAGATTTTACACGCACACTCTTTCAAAATTAGTTAGTTCTTGCAGCTTTAGGCGCTTTTTGCTAAATGTTATTTGAACCGTATAGTATGCAATAAGAAAAATATTTATTGAGAGTATATATTCCAGATTTATATATTTATTGATCAGTTCAGTATATTACAATTCTAACAGTTTTGTAGTTTTTTTGCAATTATCATTATTTTATAAGAGCTTAAAGGCTTATTTTTAGCGTTTGACAAAAAATGTTAAAGTGTTCATTTTTAATATTATACTTTTTTGTAATTTTTATTGTAACGTTGAGATGTTTCTCAAATATATAACTTGCTTCATTATTATTTTGTTTTATTTTTGCATACCTATTTGTAATTCAGTCAATGTTGGGCGTTTCTTAGTACTCGTGGGTTAAACTTTGGAAAATGATATATTTTTTCTTGATGGCTTTTATGTTACATCGGACCAGTTTATATGGCCCGGCTAATGTTACAACACGGTCGGGCCGTATAAACTGGCAATGCTGATAATATTCGTTTCCTGCTTGCGATAATGCTAACTGTAGTTTTCACATGGAAAAGTGCAAAGCATATTGGAAAACGTTGTTTCATGAATGTGATTATTTACATTTCGTCGAACTAAAGCACACATATTGTAACTCCAAATTTAATGTTATAACGATCTTGATACCAATTCGCATTTTAGCCTTCTTTTTTTGGACACAAACATTGTAGCTCCAACACCCACCAAACTACAATAAATTTAAATTTAAAACTGAGATTTAAGGTATTTAATTACACTTTCTAGTACACCTCGCTGAAGTTTAAATTTGCGATTGTCACCAAAGGGGTTTTTGGAGACACGATAAGTGTGCTTTAGACCGACGATACTCTTCTATCTGTTAGTGCTATAAACTTACAAAAGGAGTCATAAAAATGAATCGTTACATATTATTTAAAAAGATCCTAGGTAACGTTGCTTTTTTATTCCTTTCTATTGAAGTTCTTTTGATGCTTGTGTATTTATATAGCCTCCAAGTGCAATCTGCTCGAGTAATGGCTTGATGTTGCTATTCTAGTAGGTAGGTGTTTTCGAAAAGGAGCTTGTGTTCTCCATTGGACAATGTGTTCGACGACTGTATACTTTTCGGTTTGTTCTAAACGACAACTTCGTTTGTATTCTGTTATTCGTGTACCAATGCTTCTTTTTGTTTATCCTATGTGATCTTTTCCACAAGTTCATGAAATTATGTAGACTCCTGCTGATGTCAGAGGATCTCTGCGGTCTTTCGATGTTTTAAGATATTCCCTTATTTTCTTTGTTGGCTTATAGACAGTGCTGATTTTCTTTTTATTTAGGATTTTCTCAATTTGGTCAGTGACACCTACGTACGGAAGATAGACAGTTCCTTGGTTTTGTTCTTCACTAGACTTGTTCTTATTCTCCCTTGGGCGCGTAGCACGGATTATGTCTTGTGCTGCATCCGTTTGCTTGTAACACTTGTCAGGTGTTTCATTTCATCGTTGATGTGTCTTGTTTCACATATCCTTAACGCTCTGTTTACTAAGGTGTTTATAATCGTGTTCCGTTTTGGACAATGGATCCATATTGTAGGTATCGACCCAAGCGCGTAGCTAGGTTGTTTTCTTGGGGGGGGGAGGTAACACTTTTCACATTATTGGTAAATATGCAGCGTGTTATCTTAGAATATGGTACCAATGCAACGTCTAGAGTTCATATGTGTATTTCCAGAAAAAAGAGTTTTATAATAAAGTTTTTAATTTTTTATATATTTATACAGGGTGTTTCAGAATAAAGTCTTGATCTTGATCTTAATCAATTATAAAGAAAATCCAAATATAATTTTCCTATAAACGTCCCAGTTTTCATTCTACAGGGTGATACAAGTGAATTTCATAAATACATATTTTCTAAATATCTTCCCTTACAGTAAGGACCTTAACTTGAAAATATATATATGATAGATAATCGTTATTATTAGTTAACACACTATTTCGATAAATTACCATAACCCATTGGCGTAGAGTGAAGGGATAAAGAAACAATTTTATTCAAAACTTTTTGAACACCCTTCATTTCATAAAACTTAAGATTAATAAATATGTCTCACGCCATTTGTCACAAAAACGGACTTTTGGTTAATCTTTGTAGACTATTCCATTTCCGAGGTGATAGAACTGATTTATTTTATACAGAGTGTTTTTGAAACATGTCTTAAATATGGCTAATTTTAAGTTCAATTTACTCAATTTTGTTAAATGCAACACAATGTATATTATTTTCGAATAAAATTCCTTATAAATTTACCTATACAACGATATCAGCATGTCCCAATAGTACGTAATTGATCGATAGCTGTTTTATTATTGGAAATATGAAAAACAAATTAATATAAAAGTTGTATCACCACTTTTAATAAATATTCTTAAAACGGTCCATAAACGAGGGGCTGACCAAACTTATACATTTTTATATTTGTTTTCACATCGTCAAACAACTTTAGTATACTTCATTTCTTTGCTATGTTGTATATAGGGTGTTTCAAAATGAGGGGTAACGATTTTCTCATTTTTTTAAATGTAATATCCTATATGTCATTTAAAAAATTGAGAAAATCGTAACCTCACGTTTTGACACACCCTATATACAACATAGCAAATGAATGAAGTCAATTAAAATTGTTGGACGATGTAAAAACAATCAAATATATATTACTATTTGCGGGGTGTTTTGCTATAAAAAAGTATAGATTTGGTCAGCACCTCGTTTATGGACCACTCTGTATATTTAAGAATATTTGTTAAATATGGTCATACAACTTTTATATTAAACATTTCTTCGTATTTCTAATAATAAAACAGCTATCGATCAATTATGCACTGATGGGACACCCTGTATATAACACATTGGTATTGTTACATGGGCAAATTTATAGGGAATTTTATGACAAGATAATATAGCGTGTGTTGCGTTTGAAAAAATTGAGTAAATTGAATTTAAAATTAGCCATTTTAAGACATGTTTCAAAACGCTCTGTATAGAATAAAGTTGTATCACCTCTATTCGTTAGCTTAGTATTTTATAAGTCTGTATATTAAACAATTTTAAAATTAATGTAAACCTACCTAAATTATGATAAATTAATTTGGGGTCTGCATCATTCTCTAATTTAAAAAAAAATTGTTTGGCAACACTGTAATATTTTTAAAAAACATTCTAGGATTAAATACAGTATTCCCAAGCCATTTATTTGTCAGGCAAAAACGCAACACCCTGTATATCCAAAAATATTTTTAAAATATGTATTTTTCAATTCCATATAACTTTTATTAAAACTTGTTTGCTTGTCAATAACACAAATTGAAATATTGAACAATTACAATCTAATGGGACCCTGTATATAAATTTTAATTTTCAATTTGTAGGAATATTATTATTTTAGATGACAATGTTTGAGAAACTCTTTGTTTTATTGTATTTATTTTATCTCTCTATTTTTGTTTAATATAACGTTTAAAAAAATATTGATGTTGACTATGGCTTGGGGGGGGGGGTAATACCCCCATTACCCCCCCCCCCTTATCTACGCCCTTGTATCGACCAGTATACACACAACCAAACTTATATGAAATCACTATGTATTACTGAATAAACTTTTTGTAAGGAAAAAATTTGGTATCCAACTTTAAGATGAGGCTTTTTGTTCTAAACAAACATGATAATAAAGAAGAAACGACTGTTGCGATTTATTATCTTGTAAATTTTCTGTTTAATAGTAAAATCACGATTCTCCGCTAATTTTATTTCGGCTCAAAGAAACAAAAAATTTCTTGTGTTGGAATAACAGATGTGCAGAGGGGAAGAATTATTGCTCTCATTGATAACGGAATGCACCAATGAGACGTAGCAGAGGTAGTAGGCGATACCCAGGGTGTTGTATCGAAAACATGAAATGTACTTGAACAGGCCCAGACAAAGTCGTCAAAGAGTCACAACTAATTAACAGGACCGCTTCGTGTGCCAAATTGCTAGAAGAAATCCCAGTGTTTCTCATCCTACAATAACAACTTCAGGAAGCTACAGGTGTGAACGTTTCAGTTGAAACCCTAAGAAAAAGACTTCGCGCTCGAGGGTTGTACAGTAGGAGAGAGTTACGGGTTCCGCCGGTATCAAGGCAAAATAAAAATGCCCGGCTAAATTGGCAAAGTGTTCTCTTTTCGGATTAGACTAGAATTGGCCTAAGATCAGATGACCATTGGATTCGGGTTCTCAGATCTCCAGGAAGACGAGCGAGACTCCACACTGCCAGATTTGTCTCAAGATATCAAGGAAGAACTGCAATGTTCTGGGGAGGTATTATGCTGGGAGCAAAAACTCCATTGTTACCACTTCAACAAACTTTAACCGGTCCGAGGTATGTTGATTTAGTGCTAGAACCATCGTTAGGCTTTGGAAAGCTGCATAATTTTATCTTCATGCACGATAGTGCACTTCCCCATACCAGCAGAGTGGCTAAAGTATGACGTGTGTCTTTTTATTCAACTGTTGCAGCAACGTTGGCATTGGTGCGGTATCTACCTGTCTTTTATTTCATCAATCTATCAATGATGAACTAACAGCGCTGTATTTTTATCCAACGTTGATGCAATCGATGCAACACCATTCCGTCATTTCAATGTATGGTTTTTCCGATTAGATGTGACAATTGACAGCTATGGATTGCGAGAATTAATCAGAATTAAGGAGTTAATTAATTATTTAATTGTTTTTTTGTGGGAAAACCGAAAAAAATGAGATTTTAAAAATATATGCGTCCAAAGTAAATAGGTACATTCAAATAAAATTATAAACACAAATTTTGATCCAAAATGTCTACTGTTATTTATTTCAACGGTCAACCATAAATAAATCGAATCCAACAAAAGGTGTTCAAGGCCGCATCGGCGAAAAACGATTCCAACAAACCGGTGGAAAAAAAGACACACGTATGTCTTGAAACGGAAGGTGTCTGGCCTGCATGTTCATCAGACCTAAATCCTATCGAACACTTGTGGGACCAGCTCAAAAGAAGGGTTATAGAGCTCTTCGAAACAATGCTGGAAATGTCACACGGCTTATTGATGCATCATTAGCAGAATGGGAAAACATACCCCGTCAAGGTTGACAATTTAATAAGAGGCATGCCAAGGCGAATAGAAGCTGGCATAAGGGTGGTAACACGGATTGTTCAAATTACCAATTTTCTTTTTGTTTTTGCTTCTCGGCTATTAAAAATTTAAATCTCATTTCGTTTCAGAAACAAAAAAAATACCGTTATGTT